AGAAAGAAATATATAACTTACTATGACTGAATAAAAAATAAATTTAAAAAATCTGTACATGACTACAAATAATAACACTGAAGTAGTAATCAAAATGTCCCAAGTAAATTGAAAAAAAAAAAAAAATCCCAACAAAAAAGACCAGGTATAGACACATAATTTGTAATCATTGCATAATTCTACTGAACATTTTTTTTTTTTTTTAAAGATGGGGTTTCACCATGTTGGTCAGGCTGGTCTTGAACTCCCGATCTCAGATGATCCGCCTGCCTTAGCCTCCAAAGTGCTTGGATTACAGGCGTGAGACATCACGCCTGGCCTCTACTGAACATTTAATGAAGAATTAACACCAATCCTTCTCAATTCCAAATAACTAAAGAGAAAACACACAAAAAAAATTCCTTCAATGACACCAGCATTACTAGCATACAACACACTCACAAATACATGACAGCAAAACTATAGACCAATATCCCTGAAAATATTGATGAAAAACTCCTCAACATAATATTAGTATTGGGAAACTAAATTGTATAGCACATTAATAGGGGCCATGACCAAATGGGATGATAAGGATGGTTTAAGAGAAGAAAGATAACACACTGATAGAGTGAAGGACAAAAATCACATGATCACCTCAACTCATGCAGAAAAAGTATCTGCCAAAATTCAATACAGTTCATGATAAAGACAAAAAAACAAACAAACTAGGAAGAGAAGAAAATAAGAGAACATTAGATTTGGCCATGATTTCTTGGATATAATACCAAAAGCACTAGCAGAAAACCAAAAACAGATGAATGGAACTACATCCAAGTGAAAAACTGTGCATCAAGAGAGAATGCTCCAGCCAGGGTGTAGAAGAGCAAGCTCCTGTTTCCCAACACAAAAACGAAAATTTTCAAAACTTGCAAGTTAAAATATCGCATCAAAACAGTCACTGAAAACTTTTTTAAAAATCTCCTAATAAAGGCCAAGCATGGTGGCTCACGCCTGTAATTCCAGCACTTTGGGAGGTGAGGCGGGCGTATCATGAGGTCAGGAGTTCAAGACCAGCCTGGCCAATATGGTGAAACCCAGTCTCTACTAAAATACAAAAAATTGGCTGGGCATGGTGGTGCACGCCTGTAATCCCAGCTACTTGGGAGGCTGAGGCAGAGGAATCACTTGAACCTGAGAGGTGGAGCATGCAGTGAGCCAAGATCGTGCCACTGCAATCCAGTCTGGTGACAGAGCGAGACTCGGTCTCAAAAAAAAAAAAAAAAAAAAAAAAAAAAGAATATGAAGTCAGAAACACAGTGACTCACTCGTAAAGTTTCAAACATAATATAAATGAAGCAGGAAAGCCTTCCCCTTAGTGTTCTCATTTTAAAGCATTTAGCAGGAATTTGTGCACAGTAACATATGACTTCATGGTCAGCCTCTTGAATCCTGTTCTACAAAGAGGTGGCATGCATCCAGATGTGGTCCCTAAACAATCCCTGCTGCCCAGCATACAACCCACACAAATATATGATAAGAAAACAAAACTATACAGGCGCAGTGGCTCATGCCTGTAATCCCAGCACTTTGGGAGGCCAAGGTGGACAGATCACAAGGTCAGGAGTTCGAGACCAGCCTGGCCAACATGATGAAACTCCGTCTGTACTAAAGATACAAAAAATTAGCCAGTGTGGCGGCATGCACCTGTAGTCCCAGCTACTCGGGAGGCTGAGGCAGAGGAATCGCTTAAACTAGGGTGGCAGAGGTTGCAGTGAGCCAAGATCGCGCCATTGCACTTCAGCTGGGTGACAGAGCAAGACTGTCTAAAACTAAAAAGGAAAAAGAAAACAAAACGATAGACTAACATCCCTGAAAATACTGGTGAAAAAGTCCTGAACATAATATTAGGGGGGCACACCCCATTTCCAATCCATGCCTGGGTATTAACCCTTTCCAAGCACCCTTTCTCACGTTCATGTCATTAGGTCATGCGTCATGGAATCTAAGTGAGATGAGAGGGACTGACGGATGACATGGGTGAGTGAGCAAGCATGTGAGGCAGGATGCTTCAGACTCGAAGACTGGCAACTTCAAAGAATGTCATTTTGTTACAGTAGGCAGCTCTTCTGGTATGAGTAGGGCAGGGCAGGAGAGGGCTCCCCCTCTCCATACACACACATCAGGAATGTCAGGCCACCATTAGGTGATGGTCAGGTGGTTGCTAACTGTCTCTCTAAAATAATAGTCACAGCCGACACCAAGGAAAGGCAGGCTCCTCATAGATAGAAAACACCTGAAACTGGTGATCAGCTGCTTCCCATGAAATCAGGAGGTGAGCGTGTGGGCTCAAGCATGCGAATGAGGACAGCCCACCCCAAGGGAAGAATCAGGGAAGCAAGACCCATGAAATATACCAACATATAAAACCCCAAGTCAAAAGGCCAAACTGCACACTTGCCTTTCAAGTTGCCCACTTGGCAATCTTCCAAGTGTACTTTCCTTCGTTTCTGCTGTAAAGCTTTTTTTTTTTTTTTTTTTTTTTTTTTGGAGACAGGGCGTTGCTCTGTCACCCAGACTAGAGTGCAATGGCATCATCTTGGCTCACTGCCAACCTCTGCATCCCAGGATCAAAGGATTCTCCTGCCTCAGCCTCCCAAGTAGCTGGGACTACAGACATGCACCACCACACCTGGCTAATTTTTGTCTTTTTTGTAGAGATGGGGTTTTGCCATGCTGCCCAGGTTGGTTTCGAACTGCAGGACTCAAGCGATACGCCCACCTCAGCCTACCAACGCACTGGGTTGACAGGTGTGAGCCACTATGCCTGGCCATTTCTGCTCTAAAACTTGCCTCAGTCTCTCCTTCTGCCTTGTGCTCCTCAGTTGAATTTTTTTCTTCTGAGGAGGCAGGAATTGAGATTGGTGCAGACCTATATGGATATGGATTCACCGCCCATAACAATTTCAGAAATAAGAGAAATAAAAATCAACTGATAATATTACTTTGCCTGAGTAAGAGCCATCCCTGTTTCCTTTTCTTTCTCTTCCTCCTTTCCCGGGCATCTTCCTTGGGTAATAGGAAAAAGCCTTGAGAAGTCAATCCTGAATGTCCAAAATATGCTGTTTAATGACTAGACTCAACACCTTCTTTTTTTTTTTTTTTGAGACGACATCTCCCTGTTACCCAGGCTGGAGTGCAATGCCATGATCTTGGCTCCCTGCAACCTCTGCATCCCGGCTTCAAGCGATTCTCCTGCCTCAGCCTCCTGAGTAGCTAGGGCTACAGGTGTACGCCACCACACCCAACTAATTTTTGTATTTTTAGTAGAGACGGGGTTTCACCATGTTGGTCAGGCTGGTCCAGGGAAGGTCTCGCTGTGGACAGCCAGTCCTCTGCAAGTCACTGCACCAGATGGGACACAGATTCCTACAGGAAGACCAACAAGTGAGTTTCTGGCCCCTTTCTTCAGAACCCACTCCCCTTTTGGAGAGGCGCACACACACGCTGCAGCAGTGGGAGGCTGGGATGGACTGAGCTTCCCTTCAGGTCACAGATCCCATGCTAACTAACCAAACCCCATGCAGTCCCCTAACCTCTCTGTGAATCCCAGGCTGATCTCAGCCTTCAGAAACAAATTGCAGAGCCTTGGAGCTCAATGCTGAACGCACGTGGACTCACCTTTAGATATGATTAAGGACAGGCCCCAATGTATTTGAATGAAGACTTCAGGTAAGGGGGCACCAGAGGGGTACCTGCAAAATGCCCCAGTACTATAATGTGAAGCCAGGGTTGGGTTCTGCCCAGAGGGGGCAAGCCCAGCACACCCCACGCCTTCTGGCTCTGCTTGCCCTCTTTGGCCTTGTCATCAGGATCAAAACAGTAGACAGCAAAGGTGGGGAAAGAAACATCCACAGCAGCCAAAATGAACCCAGAGGTAGGGGTGACGGTGTGGCTGGAGTGGTGAATTGGGGTGGGAGACCACAGAAGTCCCCTCTAAGAAGAAGTCCCCTCTAAGGAAGGGTTTTTTTCCCCTGAAGTTGAGAGGCCAGAGAGTCCTAGGCAGAAGGAAAGCCCAAATGAAGGTCCTGAGGCAGGAGCAACCTGGGGAGGGAAGCAAGTTCACACTTGCAGCTGAGGGGCCAGAGAGTTCTAGGACAGCCCCGGCAGAGGCCCTTAGGCAAGGGCAACCTTAGTGTCAGAGAAAGGAAAGAGGCCCGCATGGCGGGAGGAGGGGAAACAAGGAGGACACAGGCAGGAGATGATGTCAGAGAGGTCCTGGGAGAAGAGATAAACGTAGCAACCAGGCTGGGTGCGGTGGCTTACGCCTGTAATCCCAGCACTGTGGGAGGCTGAGGCGGGTGGATCACCTGAGGTCAGGAGATCAAGACCATCCTGGCCAACATGGTGAAACCCCGTCTCTACTAAAAATACAAAAATTAGCCGGGCATAGTGGCATGCACCTGTAATCCCAAGCTACTCGGGAGGCTGAGGCAGGAGAATCGCTTGAAGCTAGGAGGCGGAGGCTGCAGTGAGCTGATACAGCACCATTGCAGTCCAGCCTGGGGGACAGAGTGAGACTCCATCTCAAAAAAAAAAAAAAAAAAGGATCAAATAAATTACGTACAAATGTATACACAATTCAAGCTCATGAGACACATTCCGTGGAAAAAATCCCCACTGAGAAGGTGATATCAGAACAGACACCGGGGAAGGAGGCGTGTCTGCACCTGCAGCTGAGGGGCCAGCGAGTTCCAGCAGAGACACAGCCCACGTGAAGGCCTTGAGGCAGGAGCAACCTTGGCCCCAGGAACAGGAAAGAGGCCTGCGTGGCTGCAGCTGAGGGAGCGAGGACACAGGCAGGAGATGAGGTCAGAGAGGCCCCAGGGACCCAGATCAGGCATGGGGGAGGTCTTCAAACATTTTTTTCCCCACACCTCAAAAGAATCTAGAAATGACTTATTTCCTTACCTGTTTTGTACCTTTTTCTTTCTCTCATAAATTAACACACTAATGATGTCATTATTTACTAATTTTAATACATGTTGACATGTTCAGCTAAGTCACCTGAAATCCAGAGTCGCCCTCATCTGAGATGTGCAGGATTGCAGGGGGAATGTGTCTGGGAAGCTCAGTCACTTCTGAACACATGAAAGTGGAGATGCCTGCTGGACTCCCAGAGGAGAGTCGAGGGGGCAACTGGACCCAGGATTCCAGTGTTCAGGGGAAAGGTCTACAGGGAACATGGAGCCCTGCAGGCGGGGTTAAAGCCATGAGATGAGATGATGAGGAAGGGCAGTGGGTGTGGACGGATACCAGAACTCCAAGGGGTAAGCTGAGGGTCACTCCACATTCAGAGAACAGAGCTCAAGATATACTAGAAGAGAAAAGTGTAAAGTGATCAGGGAGGCAAGAAGAAAATTAAGAGAACTATATTTTTATTATTTTTTAATTAAAAAAAAATTTTTTTGAGACGGAGTCTTGCTCTGTCGCCCAGGCTGGAGTGCAATGGTGAGATCTCAACTCACTGTAACCTCCTCCTCCCGAGATCAAGCGATTCTCCTGCCTCAGCCTCCGAGTAGCTGAGATTACTACTACTCCGAGTAGCGTGCAGCACCACACTCGGATAACTTTTTGGTAGAAACGCGGTTTCACCATGTTGGGGAGGCTGGTGTCGAACTCCTAATCTCAAGTGATCCACCCGCCTCGGCCTCCCAAAGTGCTGGGATCACAGGCGTGAGTCACGGCGCCCGGCTCCTCCTTTCACTCTTCCAGTCTCTTTGCAAATCCCGACCCACCCTCTGCTCTGCCATGTGTTTATAGGTTTCTCTCATTCTTTCCTGTCTCTCTCTGTCTCCCGATCCCCTCGGCCCACACATTCACAGGAGGGTTTGGAGTAAGACGCCTGCATCCTGGAGAGGCGCATTTTCCAGGGGGTGGAGCTGGGCAGGCCAGAAGACCGATGTCACAGGGCAGGCCCCGGCTTGAGGAGGAGGGAGGTGGGGGGCGACGGCGCCTTCGGACAGGGGTGGGGTCTGCAGGAGCCCAGGACCAGGCAGAGGACGCGCCTCCCCGGGACCGGCGCTGCGCGCTGCGCTCCAGGGGCCCGCGAGGGCGAGGCTGGGGGTCGCCCAGGGCAGGACGACTTTAAAAAGCGCGGGGTGGGGGGAGGGGACGGGAAAGGGAAGGAGACGCGAAACGCCGGGGACAGGGACCAGTCTCAGACGGAGACTCCCCTACACGGCGAGGTCTGTATTTACCTGGGGTGGAGGTGTGGGGACTTTAAGGTCAGCAGAGACACCCGGGCACCGAGGTGTGGAAACGGGGACGGCGAATCGAAGGTCTAAGCTACACAGAGGTACATTGACGCTCGTCGGCGTCACCTGCCCACACCGCGACCTGCTTCCGGGACTGCAGGAAACTGCGCATGCGCGCAGAGAAGAGCCAGTTAGCCCGGGGCGGTGCCGGGGGCGGTGCCCGGGGCGGGCCGGGGGCGGAGCCTGTGCAGTTTTAAGGTAAAAGCTTAGCGTTGTGGGGGCCCCTTGTGTTGGAAAGGAAAATGTTTTCCTCTTACCAAGACGAAAGCGGCTAATCTCAAAACTATTTTTGCCAGCGGGTTGGACTGGATTCTGCTAGGGAGTTGCCTGCAGCTCAGCGGTCTGGGAACTGGGAATTCCGTGGGGGATCCAGGAGGAAAGGTGATTGGATCTGGGAAAGTTCCTGCAAATCAATTTAATTCAAGTAATTTACTTTAAAAGCTCTGAAAGTATCTGTGAAGGGGATGCAAACTAGACTGTGAAATGCAAAACTCTGCCCGGAAGGAAGGAATGTGACACGTAACGCTATTGTCCAAAGGATCCTCCTTTCCATTTTTTTTTTTTTTTTTTTTTTTTTTTTTCATGGTAAAATACACATAATACAAACTTTGCCATCTTTTTCTTTTTCTGGTTTTTTATTTTTTTTTTCCTGAGACGGACTCTCGCTCTGTCGCCCAGGTTGGAGTGCAGTGACACAATCTCAGCTCACTGCAACCTTGCCTTCTGGGTTCAAGCGATTCTCCCGCCTCAGCCTCCCGAGTAGCTGGGATGATGGGAGCCCACCATCACTCCTTGCTAATATGTAATATTTTTAGTAGAGATGGGGTTTCGCTATGTTGGCCAGGCTGGTCTCGAACTCCTGACCTCGTGATCTGCCTGCCTCAGCCTCCCAAAGTGCTGGGATTACAGGTGTGAGCCACCACGCCCGGCGTATCTGGCTTTTTTCTATGTAAACAAGAATATTCTCATTAGACTTGAGGACGCCTCACTGGAAAACATGGTTCTTTGCAGTAAGCTCTTTTCAATAACACAAAGGGTTGCGATGGGTTCTTTAATATTTGCTATTTTCCAGAATTATAGGTTAAGAATATACTTTAACATTGTCACCCCGTTCCATAGTCCATTTTCTGTTGATTATAAGAGTACCTGGCCGGGCGCGGTGGCTCACGCCTGTAATCCCAGCACTTTGGGAGGCAGAGGCGGGTGGATCACGAGGTCAACAGATCGAGACCATCCTGGTCAACATGGTGAAACCCCGTCTCTACTAAAACTACAAAAAATTAGCTGGGCATGGTGGCGCGTGCCTGTAATCCCAGCTACTCAGGAGGCTGAGGCAGGAGAATTACCTGAACCCAGGAGGTGGAGGTTGCGGTGAGCCGAGATAGCGCCATTGCACTCCAGCCTGGGTAACAAGAGCGTAACTCTGTCTCAAAAAAAAAAAAAAAAAAAAAAAAGAGTACCTGAAACCAGGTAATTTTGATGGAAAGATACTTTGCACAGTTCTAGAGGCTGAGAAAGTCTAAGAACCAGGGGATGCATTTGGTGAGAGCCTCCTTCCTGGTGGCAACCCTCTACAGTCTTGAGGGGTGGGCACATGGCCTCATATGGCCAGAGGGCTGTAGGTAATGGCTTAAGTTTCTTTTTTTTTTTTTTTTTTTTTGAGGCTGAGTTTCACTCTTGTTACCCAGGCTGGAGTGCAATGGCGCTATCTCGGCTCACCGCAACCTCCGCCTCCTGGGTTCAGGCAATTCTCCTGCCTCAGCCTCCTGCGTAGCTGGAATTACAGGCACGCACCACCATGCCCAGCTAATGTTTTGTATTTTTAGTAGAGACGGGGCTTCACCATGTTGACCAGGATGGTCTCAATCTCTTGACCTCGTGATCCACCCGCCTCGGCCTCCCAAAGTGCTGGGATTACAGGCTTGAGCCACCGCGCCCGGCCTCTTTCTTATTATAAATCCACCAGTCCCACTCCAGTGATAATCTATTGGTCATTAACCCATTAATTCAGTAATTCATGAATGGATTCACTCATGAGGGCAGAGCCCTGATGACCCAATCACTTCTTATCTCTGTCTCCCAGGTTCAAGCGATTCTCTTGCCTCAGTCTCCCGAGTAGCTGGGATCACAGGTGTGCACCACCACACCTGGCTATTTTTTTTTGTATTTTTAGTGGAGATGGGCGTTTCACCATGTTGGCCAGGCTGGTCTTGAACTCCTGATCTCAAGGGATCCACCTTCCTTGGCCTCCCAAAGTGCTGAGATTACATGTGTGAGTCACCGTGCCTGGCCCACGAATGCTTTTATTCGCCTTTTTTCTTAGTGACCATTTTTTCCCCCACTGTTTTCCCCCATCGATTCTCTTCTTAATTCACTTGATATTGTTGACACATGAAAGTTCCAACAGACAATGTGGAGACAGCAAATTTGATAAGGCTTCCAGAGCTGTCTTTTCGTTTTGTAGAAGTAAGGTACCGTGGAGTGCACACATTAAAGGAACAACCTTAAACTATTTTTATCCCCTTTCTTACTTTAGTTCTGAATAACTTCAGGATGTATTGGGAATGTAACACCCTGAAATATGAAGAAACTGGCCAAAGCAGCCTGGGCTCCATTCCAGAGCCTCCTTTCCCCCGCTTTCAAAGGACAGGATGTCTTTCAGTGCTTTAGCAAAGGTCATCACGAGGCCATGTGCCATAAAACCTAGGGTGGGCTGCTTTCTGGGGTCCCTCAGCTTCAGTGCCAGTGGGACACAAGTAGATGAGACTCCATCTTCCCCAAGCAGTTTTCTTGAGCCTTGGGAGACCAGCTTGCAGTGAATCAATCCTAGGCTTCTGCTGCCCTTGTTGCCTGCAGTAGTCAACTCGCTTTACTGATCTTGTGTGCATGGGTTCTGTCTCACTGGAGTCAATTTGGTAACCAGGGCGAAGTGAACCTCCTTCACAGGCAAGGAGGGTTTGTAATCCTCCTACACTTGGTAGTGAGAATGTAAATGGCACACCCACTATGGAAAACAGTATGTTGGAAAACTTCCTAGAGTACCTACAAAACCTTAAACAAACATCATACATCATGGTCAAAAAGTGAGATTCCTTCCAAAGGTTGGGGACAAGGCAAAGACATACACTCTTACCACTTCTATTGCACATAGTGTTAGCAATCCTTGGCTGGGTGTAGTGGCTCACATCTGTAATACCAGCACTTTGGGAAGCTAAGGCAGGAGAATTGCTTGAGTCCAGGATTTTGAGATCACCGTGGGCAAGATAGGGAGACCCCATCTCTACAAAAAAAATTGAAAATTGGCTGGTGGCTGGGCGAGGTGGCTTATGCCTGTAATCTCAGCACTTTGGAAGGCTGAGGCAGGAGGACCCCTTGAGCCCAAGTCTTCAAGGCGGAAGTAAGCTCTTGACTGCACCACTGTACTCCAGCCTGGGAAACAAAGCAAGACCCCATCTAGAAAAGACTACTACTACTAACAGTGAAATAAGAAAAATAATAGAGACCAAAAAGGAATACATAACAGTGTACCCATGAGCACAGGACATGATGGTTGTGGTAAGCTAATGACCTCCACCCGAAAAGATACACATACAAAGGATTTCCTTTTCAATAGCCCTCGAACCTGTATTACATGGTCTCTCAAAGCAGAGTTTGCAGATGTGATCTGGTTGAGGATCTTGAGATGGCAGAATATCCAGGATTATTTGGTTAAAGCAGTATAATCACTAGAGTCCACATAGGAAAAATACAGGTGGAGGTAGAATCACAGAGAATTGGCAACGCTTGCACAGCAAAGAGACAAAGAGATTCTATGACGCTGCCTTCTGACTGTGAAAATGGAGGAAGTAGCCCAGGGGTAGAGGATGTAAGTGGCCTCTGGAACCTAGCAAGGGTGAAGAAATCAACTCTCCCCTAGAGATTCAAGAAGGATGATAGTTCTATAAACCTGTTTGACTTCTGACCACCACACACTGACAGCATAAATCTCTCTTTTTTTTTTTTTTGAGATGGAGTTTTGCTCTTGTTGCCCAGGCTGGAGTGAAGTGGCACGATCTTGGCTCACTACAACCTCCACCTCCCAGGTTCAAGGGATTCTCCTGCGTCAGCCTCCTGAGTAGCTGGGATTACAGGCATGCACCACCATGCCCGGCTAGTTTTGTATTTTTAGTAGAGACAGGGTTTCACCATGTTGGACAGGCTAGTTTCGAACTCCTGACCTCAAGTGATCCACCCGCCCAAAGTGATGGGATTACAGGCATAAGTCATCATGCCCGGCCAAATCTTTGTTGTTTTAAGCCACTCACTTTGTGGTGATGGTCGCAGCAGCAATGGGAAATTTATAAAATGGTTTATGTAGAAAAGCCTAAGAAATCTAAAAAGTCTGGAGAATGAGTGAGATTTTAAGGAAATAGACTACAAAATCAACATACAAAAATCTACTTTATTTCTATATACTAGCAATTAATACATGGAAATTGAAAAAAAAAAATTCCTCTGGTTTGAATATCCCCAACAAAACTCATTTGGAAATTTGATCCCCAATGTGGCCATATTGAGAGGTGGGGCCTTTAAGAGGTCATTAGATCATGAGAGTTCAGCTGTCATGAATGAATCAATCCATGCACGGATTAAGGGACTGTTATCACGGGAGCAGAAGTGATGGTTTTTATAGGAATAAGAGAGATCTGAGCAAACAGTATACTCAGCCCTCTCACAATGTGATGTGCTATGTTGCTTCAGGATGCTGCAAAGTGTCCACCAAGAAACCCTTACCAGTGTTGACCAAAAAGGCTACAAAATGTCTAACTTTAGCAAGGAGACCTTTATTTCTTACAAAGGGTTGCAGCCAGCAGGCTAGCCATCCAGCAGGCTGGGAAGCACAGTTTCAGCCAGAAACAACACAGGCAGTTCAGAGGAGGAAAGCTGAGGCAGGAATTTATGATTAATAGCAATATGTTCAATATTAAGTAAATATACTAATGGTTTATGGGAGGGTCATGCATGTATGATAAGCAAACATACATGTTCCTAGTTTATCTACCAGAGCAAAATAAAATTCCCATTTTCTATACTCCTTTTTTTTTTTTTTTGAGACGGAGTTTCGCTCTCGTTACCCAGGTTGGAGTGCAATGGCGCGATCTCGGCTCACCGCAACCTCCGCCTCCTGGGTTCAGGCAATTCTCCTGCCTCAGCCTCCTGAGTAGCTGGGATTACAGGCACGTGCCACCATGCCCAGCTAATTTTTTGTATTTTTAGTAGAGACGGGGTTTCACCACATTGACCAGGATGGTCTCGATCTCTTGACCTCGTGATCCACCCGCCTCGGCCTCCCAAAGTGCTGGGATTACAAGCTTGAGCCACCGCGCCCGGCCTCTATACTCACTCTTGAAGAAAACTCATGAACATTAATCTTTTCAAATTACATCAATAATCCAAGAACATCATAAAGGAGGTTTTATCTTTGTTCTCCACAACTTTTTTTATTTTTATATCTTTATTTGGAGAAGGAGTTTGGCTCTTGTTGCCCAGGCAGGAGTGCAATGGTGCAGTCTTGGCTCACTGCAACCTCCACCTC